CCGTTCTGAGATCACGTATGTCTGGTATTTTTTGACAGCCATCTGGTAACCCTATTCCCGGCACCACAGAATCAGAATCCACAACTTCTCCAGTCCCCCGCAATTTTGAGCAGAGTTAGTCATCATGCCTATTTTTCACAATGCTTGTTGTGGAAATAATTAGAGAACTGGTGAACCTGCTACTTAGGAGAACATAATGTCGAACCCTTTAAAGCTAAATGATGCTACAGGTGGGGACTTATTTGAGAAATTTCTTATATTTGTGAGATGTTGGTGACCTATACACTCAATATACTCTCTTAGCAGAATACACATAATGGCTGCGTCTAGACTGGCAAGTTTTTCCGCAAAAGCAGCTGCTTTTGTGCAAAAACTTGCCAGCTGTCTACACTGGCTGCTTGATTTTGTGCAAAAGCACTGACGTTCTACTGTCCAAAATCAGTGCTTGCGCAAATGCTTTGACGTTCCTGTTCAGGCAAAAGCCGTTTCCCGGAAATGTTTTTGTGCAAGAGGGCCAGTGTAGACAGCTAAAAACTGTTTTGCGCAAAAAAGCCCTGATCGTGAAAATGGCGATCGGGGCTTTCTTGCGCAAAACTGCGTTCATGCGAATCTAGACACTCTTTTCTGCAAATGCTTTTAACGGTAAAACTTTTCCGTTAAAAGCATTTGCTGAAAATCATGCCAGTCTAGACGTAGCCAATAGATATACTTGCTTACTACTATTAATATCATGGAGGAGGCAATCACATGGCTAGAAGGACTGGAATTTAGGAAGAATTTCCCTCACATCCTCCCAGTCATTTGTCTTTCCTTTCCCATAAAGTAATCAATGTTTTTTCTCCAAAAATATTTAATTCTCAGGCGGCACACAGTGCTCACAAAAAGAAAGTGTACCAAAGAACGACAGGGTTAAGTAAATAGAAGTGGTATAAAAAAAACTATCAAATGTTATTTTCAAGTTTTTTTAATTTGATTATTTGAATACTTGAGAGAGTGCAATGAGCTCTAATAGCAAACTTTTTAAACTCTGATCTGTTTTAACAAACACAAAATGTAATAGTAGATTTAAAGTCTCTGGAAGGAGCATGACTAGAAATAGCGGTGGAAAATCTTATGGAATTACCTTGTAAAATGAATATTTGCCACAACAGAGTTCACTTCATTTTTTAACCTTTGAGTGCATGTATTTGCTTGTGTGTCCTCTTTTCTTATTCTACCGTGTCCCCTTCAAACTTGTTTCTGGTCTGCCTTTTAGTGATAATTTTCTCTTGATTTAACTTTTAATTGTAAAAGCTGATTCAGCCTTTCTAATTACTCTACTTTTTACACTTTCCAGAATAAAACACAAGGGAAATCTGAATTTCCAAACCTGAGGATGTAAAATACAAAGGGATAAATCTTCACCATTGCATACTTCGCACCTACCTTGGGATGACTTTATGCCTTCTACTGTAAAACTCCACCCACACTTGTGAGACTTAAAAAAAATACTATTTGCAAGGCCAAACCATATTGAGCTACTCAATATATCCTATAGAAGGCAACTTTAAGATTGTTAAAGACCTGGCTGTTTTGAATGAATGCATCTGTATATTTGACTGTCCAATAAAGTGTACTGAATGTTGAGCTTGGCTGTTACTCTGTTCTTTGTGTGAAAAGCTTAGTTTATTGAAAGATACTAAGGGACACTTAAAGGGACACAGTCAGGTAACTTGATCCTGATTTAGTGTATAGGGTTTTTTGGTTTGTTTTTGAACCAATGGAATCAGATTGTGTTTGAGTTTAAACCTAAACAATGCAGCTCTCTTCTAGTGCATGAGAACCAGGGAGTGAAACTAATCAATTTCACTCCCCCTCCTCCTCCATCTCCCACCTCAGTTGAATGAAATATAAAAAAGTAAATAATGGCATATAGCCCTCCCTTTTATTCTAAAGTACTAATGTTTTCTAATACAGGTTTTTTTTAGACTGACAGTGTCTCTTTAAGCTTTTTTTTCTATTCTCTCTGCCTGCAACTATTGTACATCTTTTCCCAGTTCCATTCTTCACCTGGTAAATTTGGTATGAGAGCTAACTAATGATGAACACATGGCATACCGTTTCATTTTATCAACTTTTGTGCATGTGTGTGTGTTCTCCTGTGCATGCCCTTCTACTTAGGACTGTGTTCAGTTTTTTAATCCCATGTGAGACTGACCTAGTTCATGAGACAACATGGAGTTTCATTGTTTCTGAATAATTTTACACAGAGATGCAGGCAAACCTGCAGCAGAGAGAGTTTGGGTTTGCAAACAAGGAGACGATCACTTGTAAGTGGCTGCATGCATCTCCAATGTCTCTGGATGATCAACTGTGGTTTAGTTTTTAAAAACTGTTTCTCTATTTTAAATACTTAGTTTTGTAATAAGTGTTTTCTGTTTTTATTTCTGGCATATATGTATATATGTATAATGAGCTTTCCTTCATTATTTATGAATGCCATTCGTCTTGAACTGCAACTTGGACATGGTGCTAAATTGAATAAGAGCTTCTTAGCAGGACAGTGAGGGTACGTCTATACAGCAACATTATTTTGAAATAATTAGCGTTCTTTTAAAATACCTTAGTCCGCATCTACACAGCAGGCAGTTTATTTCAAAATAATGTTGAAATACTGTCAAGCTGGAAGATTTCTTACTTCAACTCCTGTAACCTTCATTGTACGAGGAGTAAGGGAAGTTGGAGGAAGAGTGTTCTATTTCGAAATAAGTGCTGTGTAGAGTCTCCCAATTTTGAAATAAGCTATGCAATTGACATAGCTCAATTTGTGTAGTATATTTCGCGTTAAGCCCTGCTGTGAAGACACACCCTTAATGTATTGTATTCCATGTTTAGATAACTTCATTGCTGAGTACTGCTGGAATGCAAACTCTGAGGGTATGTCTAGACTGCAGAGTTTTTCTGGGATACCTCCGGTACCCTGGAAAAGCTTTGCCGTGTCCAAGGAACACGTCTGGTTTTTCGGAACAGTTTCTGAAAAAGTGGATGTGTTCTTTCAGCATCCCTATATTCCTCTTGGGCTGTGTCCAGACTCAGGGTTTTTTTCGAAAAAAGTAGCCTTTTTTCGAAAAAACTTCACCTGCGTCCAGACTCAAGCCGCGTTCTTTCGAAATTAAATCGAAAGAACGCGGCTTTTCTTTCGATGGCGGTAAACCTCATTTCACGAGGAAGAACGCCTTCTTTCGAAAGTTCCTCTTTCGAAAGAAGGCGTTCTTCAATGTAAATAGGGCTTCTTCGAAAGAGAGCATCCAGACTCACTGGATGCTTTCTTTCGAAAAAGCAAGCTGCTTTTTCGAAAGTTCAACGTGCAGTCTAGACGCTTTCTTTCGAAAGAGGCTCTTTCAAAAGTATCTTTCGAAAGAGGCTTGCAGTCTAGACATAGCCTTGGTGAGAGGAATAAGAGATGTTCTGAAATGAGAGTTTTTTTCTGAAATTTGGCCTCGTGTAGATCGGCCAAATTTCGGAAAAGCCTCTTTTGGAAAAAAAGCAGATAAAGATACGCAAATTGCAGTTTGCAATTTGCATATCTTTATCCAACTTTTGTCTGCAGTGTAGACATAGCCTGAGCCTACTCCCAAATAAGTCAATGTCCATTTTGCTATCGAGTCCTTCAATGAGAACCAGTTTGGATCCATAAATCTTGCATCCCTTTAGCGTGGTTTCTGACACACTTTGTGTGTGCTCATTCTATTATTTTGTATACCATTTGCTTTAAGCCATACTTTCCTTTCTATTACAGTGACATGGCAGTAAAATAAAGCTAATGATTGAGAATATAGTTTAATAATATTTTAAACATCATCTGATGTGAGAGGTCTGTGAGTTCCTTGATTTTCTTATGGAAAATCTCAATCACAAAATGAACATAATTTTTTCATTTAAGATTAAATAAGATGGTGAAAGCAACTGTTGAACTTGTTTTCCTGTGGCATGCATACACTTTACTCTTTCTTTATTGTATTAACTAAATCCTTAAAAGGTGATGAAATGGAGACCGCTGAAGTCACTGAAGAAAGCATGCAAGCCACAGAGGTACCCACAGAGGAGGCTGAAGAACTAACTGCTGATGAATCTACAGAACAGAATGAGAGGTCTATGGTATCCACAGAAGCTGATGTCGAAAAAGAATTGCCAGTTGCAGATGCATCCTCTGCTGTGGAAGAAGTACAGCAGGAAGCCGCTGCTAGCTTGGAGGCTACCCAAGTGCAAGGTTAAGTCATAATTATTTTTAAAAAACAAAAACAAAGAAAAAACCGTTTACTACAGGGAGTTCTATACTGCTTACAAGTAATCATGTAGTGGAATTAACGTGCAGTGAAAATTAACTTCATCATCGTCTTGACAATCCTTGAGTTTCAAGTTAATTGTAACTCTCAAGGAGCGTACTGCAGTAATCTTTTCTCTCAAAAGCTTACCTCTTAGGGCATCAGAGTTGGTGCTAAAGGCCATGAGAATGAATGGATCTTATTACTTCCACATTCCATGTCTCTTCCACAAGTTTTTAGTGTGACAGGAATACATGTATGTTAGTGCCCCCTTATGAGAAATTTAAATACTTTGTTGGCTACTATATAGGCTTGCATATGAAACTATCTGATTCTATTTATATAAATAACTCATTTTAGGATACTGCTTATAATCCAAAAATAAATTGTTCCCTGATCTCAGACAAACAAAATGCCACCCTAAAACCTGCACAAAAAGAAGACATACAACTGGCAGTTTGATCATGCTTACAATTCAGTAAATACCCCCAACCTCTCCCAGAATTAGGTATATAGTATGACTTTGCTGCAGATGGCAAAAGAAAAAAGATTTTTTGGGGCTGTTTTGTCTAGTTATGTCCCCAGTTTTCTGAAGCTTTTCCTGTTTGGAACATAATGGTTATTCACTTAACAAGCTTTTTTTCCTCTTTACTGTAAAGCAATACAAAATCAAACTACAAGTACATTGTTGAAATGCAGTGTTTTTAAAGTGAGATGTTATATAAACTGCACAATAACTTGATTTTAATAACATAAATCTTGTTGCTGCCTAGAAATGAAGAGTATCCATTCATCTTGTTCTTTTTGAAAGGAACAACAAATATCAGTAGGGAGATATAAAACAATTACCATTTCATGGTAGGTAGGAAAGTAACACATCTAGTTAAATCCAAGATCTTTGGTAAAAACAGACATAATACATTTGATCTGTTGTACAGTATGTCAGTTCATGTCTTGAAGGAAAGATTTTTTTTTTTTAGTGTGACTGCAACATAGATGAAACATACATAAGTACACCTTTCAGTAGGATTTGCAAGGCAGCCTAGGAATATTTTGGGTGGATAGGAGAAGAGAATAGTGTTCCTGGAACTTACCTTGTACTGTGATGCATGATACTTAATTGATAACATGGCAGCCATAGTAAGTTGTAGTGATTTGAAATGGACTTTAGTAATGATCATATGAGATTTAGTAATCTCATTAAATTAGATGTATTAGCTAAATCTTGTATTCACAATATTGAAATAATTAGTACAAAGCTAGGGCTTCCTTCAGACTTGCTATTATAAGCAGACACAGCTTCATTTGAGCTTGTAAGTTGCTTACCCATTTTCGCCCATAGAGCATTTTTATTGGCAAACTATACTGAGTTTGTATGTGTCAACTGCCTATTACTAGGTAAAGCAGGGAACTACATTTTGCACAGGATTTCAAATTGCAGATTTCTGTAATATTTATGGATCTGTTTGGATTTTTTTCACGTGTGAAGTGTTTCTAACAGACAATTGTTTGCAAAGCAATCAGCTATGAGGTATATGTTGAGTAATAAACATAGTTTAAAACAAAGGAGTAGTGTTTACTCATTCATATTCAATTCAGTGGGATACTAAACTCTCAAAATAATTGTGTACTATAATATTACCTGTGCCACTGAGATGTGGTGGCTTGTGTTTATGATTTTTTCCTCATTTGTTGGATATGTCTGCAATGATTCTTACATTCTGCATATGCAGTAGCAAGTTAAACAAGGGAATTATAAAGCAGAATTAAAGAATTTCAGAGAATCTTTCAAAATTTGTGTTGATATCTTAGCATCCTAAGAGATTGCTATTTTAATTCCACGGGAAATACAGTATAACATATTACAGTTCAGATAGATTAGAGTTGCAAAAACACAAGAGTCAGCAAAATATTTGCACAGCTCTTAGAAATTCTATATTTTTGTTTTATTTAGCATAAGCTCTGTCCCTTTGCAGAAAATTTACAGAATTTCTGTTAAGACTCTTCTACTGTTTCATTTGTCTGGATGCAGTTTATTCATTTTCCTGTTTTACTTACCTGTGTATAGCAGGAGACATGTTAAATCCTGTATATCTTACTTATGGTAAATGTAATTGTCATGGTATTATTGATGTGGAAACTAAGACCCAGGTACTTATCTGGAGGTCAGTTTTTCCAGTGAGTGGGGTTTGTGAGACTGGAATTGGGGGTTCTAACTGTGGATACAGGGAGTTTGAGTCCTACCTTGGAAGTGCAAATCATTACTGAAGCTGATCAGAGGTAGGTATTGAATTCCAGACTTTCAAACCTACCTTTTTCAAGAAGTCTGAAGATGAATGGTACCAATGCTAACATTGACTTCCAAATGTTTGGTTAAGAGGGACTCTGAGATTTTGGTTAATTTTGAAAAAATGTAATGTTTTTGCAAGGTTTTCAGAATGTAAGGTGTGACATTTCTTGAACCAATCAAGCAAAAAAATTAAAAAAAGCCCACAAAATCTATTTACCCATTTACAATTTTCAACCCGCTCTCTGATAAAATTATACTACACATTAGCTGAAAGATTAGTTCACCATCATGTACCCACCCTCCCCATAAATCATGCCTTGCTCTCATGGAAGGGTATACCTTGTCTTGTGTACCTATCTTGCTTGCCCCCCTTTCAATCTGATAGATTATGATCTTTGCCGTTACTATATTTTGACACTGAATGAACCTCTATGTACCAGTTTTACATGCTTACTGTCAGATAATGTCAAATTCTATTGGTCACTGTGTGGAGTTTCAGTCAGCCTCAATGAACTAGTCACTGGATCACAAGGATAGTCAGTCGCTAAATAACAATAAATTAAGATGTCCTCTTTCTTGAATTGTATTAAAACTGCAATTCCCTTTTTTCTGGTGGAAGATACAGAAAGCATCAATTCTTTATTTGAAATGATACAAGGAGAAAATATTCTAACTCATATTGATAGCTGTCAATTTTAAGCAGATCAAGGACTGGGCAATGACATTATTACTCAAGGGACTTAACCTCAACAACCGTTTGCATTCTTTCTAATTAATTTTTCTTTTTGCTTTATCAGACAAGCTCTGGTAACTCCATCCTCTGCAGTATTGAATGTAGCCTCGTTATTTAAAAATCCAACAACTTAGGTCCTGAGGAGTTTTAAATGTGTCAATTATAGCACTATTTTTCTTTCAAATATTTAGGTGACTAGTACTGATAATGAAAAAGGCAGACTTACTAAAATACTTGAATTTTTTAGTAAGAAGCACCTTTCTCAGAGTTTATTTTTGGTATTTCTACATGCCTCCTGCATAGTGTTACAGGTTTTTTTTTTTCTAGCATGTGAAATATAAACTTTCACTACTTGCCATGGGATAAATCAAGTTCTTCTGCCATATAACTAGAACTATTAAAAAATCCAGCTGGTGAACATCCCTCTTTAATTCCAGAGTGTAAAAAGGGATATTTAAGGGGCTAGTTCAAATGATTAAGATAACTACCATTTTACCAAGTAAATAAAAGCTAGTTATTAGTCAGAATTCTCTCCACACCTCTAATTCAACCCTTCACTGATATCTGTAATACATGGACACTGGACAGCTAGTCTGTATATTTAACAAGACAATCCTGTGAAAAATATTGCCTCTACTTTTACATTGCCAAATGTTGCTTTCTCTGGCCCAGTCCTGCAAACAGTTCTGACTACAACAAAGAGCTGATTCTGCTTCATTTAAACAATGAGAGCAGGATGGGTGCCTTAGTTCCACTGAAATCAAGAGGAATCTTTTGGGTCCTGTGCCTAATGACATGTGCACCAAAGCAGCATTTTAGAGAAGCCACAATCACAGCCTCCATGTAACTCTGAAATTGAAGGTTACTATAGACTTCAGTTTTCTGTTTAGTAGCCACAAAGCATAGTAGTTGAGCTAAGTGCCATATTGTTGTGTGAAACTTGTTAGTATCAATTTATATTAAAGTTTATGCATTAGGTGTTCAGAGGCCATTAAAAAGGTCCATTAGTCTTGAGATATACACATTATACAAAGCATAAACTGATAGGACATTAGTTATGAGAGCATTTGGACTGCTTTTATGCAATAAATATTTACTTCCACTCTGGTATTAATAGCACAGGAGCAGAGAAACATGTTTTGTTAACTCAGAACAGGCATTAGTTACTATGTATTTTAGGCTTCAACATTCCCGTTTCCTTCCCATTATTACTAATCTGTAGATTCGGAGTTAGATAACTAATGTCTGCACAGCTGCTTGTAGGCGTACCTGTTTAGCACCTCTTTTACTGACAGTACAAAGCTCTTCCACATATTTAATGTGATGGTATAAAGAAAAATATGGACTATTATCTAGCACTCTTCAATGGATCTCTCAGCTTTATTTTTTAATCAAAATCCCGATTCTTAAACAGAGTGACCTAAAACCCACAAAAACAATGTTCTGGACATTAAGATAACTTATTCAAGTAACTAACTAAAAATGTATACTTGAACATTGCCACTGTGAAACTGTAAAAAGTTGATTAATAAAAAGTGGTTTTCTTATACTTTGTTCTTGGCTGCTTTTGCAGACCTATGTAAGCAAGTGCTCTGTTTTTCAGGCATCTCAGTTTTTGCCCTAGCAATTATTGTAATCTGTAACTAAGTATTGTTATGACCACTCTCAATCTGGGATCAAGTGGGAGGATAAGATTAACTGTGGGTAGGGTGACCAGATAACAAGTTTGAAAAATTAGGACGGAGATCAGGAAGTAATAGGATGCTGACATAAAACAAAGCCCCAAATATTGAAACTGTCCATATAAAAATCAGGATATCTGGTTACCCTAACTAAGGTGCAGTAAATGCATGAGAGCATACCTCTTCGAACTGGAAAAGCAGAGAAGGTAAACTATAAAAGCTAAATGTTTTAATCTGAAA